TTGAATCATGTCCTATCATTATGTTAGATTCGTCCAAGTATATCACACTTTTCCAGAAATTACAAACAGTCAGTCTTCTTTTTTCGGGGCACCATGACAAGCGTTTTATTGCGATTAATCTCCCTGACTACCAGTTTCTTCTTTACCACTCGTCTGGTGTGACCATGTTTGTGTAGATGTAACTGTATGTATGCTTAGCTATCGGTCTCTCTCTGTTTTCATTAAATTTGTTTGTAATATCACCCAAACTGTCCCTTCTGTAATCTTTAACCAGTCGCTTCAATTTTCTGTAGTCCCGAACTGTCACCTCCGACTTTCGACCACTTTGTGAAATATATTCTGAAGTACCCCGCTGATCAATTCGTTTTTTCAGACTCCCGATTGTTGATTTGGGTATCCCAAGTAAATTTCGGAGCAATTTCTTTTACGTCAGAGCTCCACTGGTTACTTTTTCGGGCCATCTTAGTTTAGATGTCGTTTCAACTGTCACGTGACATCAGTAGCCAATAATACCTTCTTAACACACCGACGTCTTTTTTATACACCCACATATGTGAGTGTTACGGGCAACGTAAACATTCCGCCGTCTTGTCCGAATATATATAGCATCACACTGTTTGTTACAACCTGTAACCTTGATATCAGTAATATATAATGTAACATTAATATATGTTGCTTCACAAATATATCAACACAAGGATTGAATAAATATCAAAGAGACTTTATATTTATATACTGTATAAATATCTTATTAATAATCGAAATTGAACACGTATTTAAGATATTTAATTTAATTTAATGAGTTTTTGTAAACCTTTTTCCCAAATATCTTCAGCAAGATTCATCAGTTTGAAATATGCAATATCAAAGTTTTACTTTCTACACAAACAATGAACCTACTAAACGTATATCAACGTTTCAAGACCGACTGATCCCTTTGTCAAGCTATGATGGGTGGTCTATCGGCACAGTGGATAGCGCACTTGCCTTTTACCAAGGCGGCCGGGGTTCGATTCCCGGTCGGACGTGAAAAGGTATGGGGTCACCTGCCCGACCACATGGATTTTCTCTGGATATTCCGGTTTCCTCCCACAGTAAGTCCCCCCGCACGCTAACATCCGGGCCGACAAGAGTGATTGGTATCAATTGTAAAACCTTGTTTCATAATTGTTGTAAAATGAATAACGTTTATTATATGATTGTGAGAGCGATTTGTATTTTTTTACCTGTACAACGATGATCGTAACGAAATTGTATATTTCTATGTCACTCGACTCTAGACGTTTTGCCGTTCGAAAGAGAGCGTTTATAAACTGCATCAGATAGGTTACAGGTAGGGTGTAGATCTAGCCTCCTCTCTAGTTATGTCAGTATCGGGTCATACAGATGTGTCAGCTTGTATCCCCCTCGTCTTTATTCATTTTCAGAGTTTTCCTTTTTCCAAATGTTTATTCTGCCCTTCACGGTGGAGAATACTAATTATAGACAAGATTGTTTTCCAGGTAAACAACTCAGGACTTTTCCATAATACACTGTATACATTAAGTGTATGTTTAATTTAGTCATATCTTTCTTTACAATATATATGCATACCCAATTAAACCAGTGTGGAGTCCATGCTTTGTGTGTCCATAGTACTGGGCCTTCTAGACATCTCAGTTAAAAAAATTTGGTGAGACTGTTGTTTATTTACTTATTCATTTTGTTCATTCATGAAAAGAGTGACGAATTCATGCTGATTAGTGGTTAAATAGCGTATAACGGAAACGTTGCCTTGGTTTAATTTAAGGTCTTGCAAGATTTTAGTGGAGGAGGTAAGTCCGAGCAACCGTAGAAAAAACGACCTGCGGCCAGCGACTGCCCTATGTAGGCCTCGTACCCGCGACCCAGTGGTTGAGGGCTTGTAATACCTGTAGCAGAATGTCCGACGCCTTAACAAATCTACCACGCCGGTTCCCCTATTGTTTATTTGCCCTAAACATTTGCTTATCGTTATGTTCAACGAGGAATAAATATTGTGGTAAATGATGAATAAAAGCTTATAAATATGATGTCGTTTAATTGTATAACATACATTTATGCCATGCTGCTTGTTCACATGGCATGACGTCAAAACTGCAAGCTTGTACACTAGACAACAAAACACTCACCAACAGTTGTGATTGTAATGGCCGTTTATTATAACGACATTACATAACTTCATATGACTTTACGTAAAAACAGTACATATAACAGTACGTAACATTACGTACTAGCCAAAGTAATGTAAAAACAAGCTTGACTAGTGTAGGTAAGGGTATATCTGGCGTAAACCTTCATAGCAGAGAGAGGTAATATAATGAACATGACTTAAAATGCAAAGAAAAATGCTGATGAGAAAAAATATCATACTAAAGAGCAAATGCAATGTTAAAATTAATTACATAGAATTCAACATAATCTCACCCTAGTGGAGACAGGGGAGGTGGTGGGTACACCCCATAGGTAAGCACTTGTCGTAATAGTACTGATTAATTAATTTCATACCTTGCAAGTCATAGTCCTTATGGTGTACTGGTATAATACGAAAGGCTGACTCAATATCTGTCTTTGCCAATAATGTCCCGGGCCCAAAGTATTTATAATTGCTATAGCGTTGTCTTAAGTTTCGTAATGGACCCCCTTATCTGTGTCCCAAATACCTTCATTGATTGATGATCCTAATGGATATGACAAGTGGTGAATAACCCGAAATTCACTAGGATCTTTTTTGGAGACGAGGCAAAGGGGTGAAATTTGCAACGTTTCAAATGGTGGTGTAGAAAAGGGGCCAGCTATCCTGCCAAGCTGAACTTCCTGTTTCATCTTCTGACAAAGGATGTTTGGATATTTTTTAGCAGATAATAAATTATCGCACGATCTGAAAGACCGAGGACCTGTATAACATAAAGAAAACCCTTGTATAAAACCGTTTTGAAGGAAATTAGTTAAATTTGAAGCATAATTTTCCGAGAAGGGAAGTATGTTGGAAAATTGTACAGGGGTAGGAGTACAACTGTTAACGGGCTGAGGCAGTGGACTTGGATTTGGGGCCATTTGCAGTAGTGGATGTGCTATTGGACATAACACCTGTTTGGGGTGTGGAAGATTTAGTACATTTCCGAGAGGAATGTGGACCTTTGCAGAATTTGCATGTGTGTTGAAAGGAACAGTTTCCTTTATTACACAATTCTTTGTTACGAAAGGCATAACACACTTTACCTTGGCCTTGGGACCCGTTCTGAGCTACATTTGGTTGTCGTCTAGCATGCAAATTGCTAGCTGTCAAAACATCCAAATACAGCTCTGAAATAACTTGGTCCCACATAAGTTGATGTGGGTTTGCCTGCCTCCACTTACGAAATGTTACATCATAGGATATAGCAGCAGCATCACCCGCCCTCTTGGCAATGGTCTGAATTGTATTTGCAAACTTCATAAGAGAAGCAGTCAAAGTAGGCTGAGCCTTTGTCAGAATGGTAAGGAAAATTTGGAAGGCACTCTGCCATTGGTCTATTGTTTTGATTGGAATGACCTTACTTTTAGGTACCAGTGACATAGTGTTGGCCTGGATGGTTATATCAAAATTGTCTGATTTACTTGGATTTATGAGGGCGCAAAAATCAACATACTGATCAGACTGATTTTTTTCTTTTAGACGGGGCTCAATGCACATATCGAGAGGGCGGCTGATGCTGCTAAACGAGACAATATTATCAGAAGTAAACCCACCCACTAAATTTGATGTTGTCTGACCCAACACAATGTCAGACACCGACAACGGGGATTCTGATGGCTCGGCATGTCCCTGACTGCCACTCCCTCCTGAGGATGTAGGCCTAGTCAAGGGTTGTTGATCTGGAACTCCAAGTGCTGCAGAAGGGATGGACTGGCGGTGTGATTGTTGGGTTCCTAGAGCTGCTGATGTCACAGACTGGTGGGTAGATTGAAAACCCAGGGTAGCTACTGAGGGCAAGACTGGGTTTGAAGATTGTTGTGGGTCTTTCATCACCATTCCTTCGGCTTTCATGTGTTTAAACAATTCAGCTGGAATCGCAGCAATAGAGGCAGCAGCTGTGAGTGATGTGTGTGCCTCTGATGGCTGGTGCTGCTGTATGTTACTGCCAGACTGGTGCTCTCCCCTGGTAGGTGCTGGTCTGCCCCTGGTGCGTGGTGTTGCGTGTTGAACTTGAACCGGTCTGTTTGGCACCAATCGGTGATTTAAGGCTGCTGCTCTCTTCCTAGTAGGTGGCATTATGCTCAAGAGAAAACCAACAAACTAATAAACCTGGTTGATGAATAAGCGAGCCAAAATAGGGTTATTTACCCTACAACAATGCAAATGTACCAGGGACTGACATAAGATTCCATGACACCTGAATTTTGACAAAATCTGACATTCACATAGTGACCGTACGTTAAAATATTTATAATTATTTTCAACATCTCAATTCACTCATGGTATAACAGAAAATATTGTGCATTTTTGTTTTAATAGAAATTCAAGATGTTATTGGCTAAATTTTGAGCGTTACACTTGCTTTAACATCCCACGGTACAAGCCAAAAATAATAGTATACACTATAGTTAGACTAACTGTCAAAACAGTGATACAATTCGTGAAATACAGGACCTGTAGACCACTGCAGTCATAAACAGGGCCAACATTGTGTTACAGCCACAGAGGCAAAATCGCACGCAAATAGCCACAAAGGCATAAAGCTTCGAAATGCCACCAAGGCATCAACTCAACACACCAGAAACCCCCACAAAGGCTTGCAAACCTGTAAATTCACATGCACCAGAAAACGTGACCGCCACAAAGGCTGCAAAACACCAATCTCAAACATCTTCAGCACCTACAACTGGTAGGTGTGCCTGAAAAGGAGGGGGGTGGGGGGGGGGNTAACAATACCTGTCTAGCGATATACTGTAGCATAAGTATATCACAATACAGTTCTACCGAAAATAACTCAACTTACTGCATAGCTAGCGACCCACACATCTGGAGCCGACAATGACAGCGCCCCTCACGCTCTGTACATACTTAGGGAGCCCGTGGCTTTCATTCAGGAGAACCCCATCATGGCACAACACATCATTTGGGCTCTCTTTAAGTCACTTATGTTTGTGATATGTGAGTTCCTGTCTGTCCATGACCATACCTTTAATCAGCTGGTTCTCCCTCCTAACTGTATTGTTGTAGTGAATCGGGGAAACACGACGAGTCCTCCTCCGAGGCAAAAGTTGCATCACAACCACATGTAAAACCCCACAACCGTGCAAAAGCCACTCGGCTATTGATAACATATTTACCGCCAAACGGCGAGATTCTGCTGTTGGATTATCGGCATCATTCCCACCTATCTGTAACACCACGACATGAGGATTATGTTGGTCTATAAAATGTTGAAACTCGCCCTTGAACAAATCGGCGACAAGACCGCCACCTTTCCCCAAGAACGACACACATATGTCCGAGTCGACAAGCCTCAAATTCCGCCATTGTACGATTGACAAATTCACACAAACGCCGGACAAAACTATGCCCCAGTACGGCGACTTTCACAGTATGTGTATCCATGAACCGGATGTAAATACCACAGTATTAGAGTGTTACATTGTACATGAACCGTAACCAGACTGAACTATGCAAATAAAAATGGCTTTTTACCTTTAGCCTTTGCTCTTTCTTCTCAGTCTTTGTGTTGGAGTCACGTGACCTATATGCAGAAACTTCCGCCAGGCGTCATCATGTTGTCACGTGACTAATTTGCATATCCAAGCGTGTGTAGCCAAGCCACACGCTTGAAATAAAGCACATGTAAATAACACTTCATTAAATTAAAATTAAAACCACAAGCACACATCATAAATGCAATTAAATGCAAATATTTAATTGTTTATTTTAGCTACCCGATTTATTCAAATAATCCAAATACGTGCATTATTACACACAAATTTGTTTAAACATGTTTAATCAGTCCCGCTTATTTGCGTCCAATCAGGTATTTATGAATCAATGCCAAAACAAGGTCATATACGTTATAAAGATTATTCAAATGTCAATTTATAACAATGACATCACTGAATGATATATAAATATATCCATGCAATATTACATCAGAACGTCTTGGCCGTGGTCGAGAACGAACACTGAGCAAACACTAAAAGTAATGCTGGCAATGGATAGGACGGGTGTTTACATAGTGTTAGTGTTAGTGGCCAGCATCAGTGGTGAGTATATCTTATTAAAACTTTACTGGGACTGGGAGTCACGGTCACTTTCGCTAACAAGGGCGCGTTTCTTGGGAAGGGGTCATTGTTGAATGTGAACCTCGATACTTCCGCCTGTCGCTGAACCGAAAATGTAATGTGGAATCCGCTATGAACATGGAACACTAAAGAAGCTGACCGGTTACACGTGGTCGCCATTGATTGTGTGTGTGTCAGATAAGTTGAAATGGAATTTGAGCATGCGGCTGTTGAACTTGTGACAAGTATCGGGGAGATCTGCTTGTGTTGATGTGAGAATAGTTGTGTATATATGAAATGTGTTATACATATATGTTTATATATGCATCTGCCATCAATGCAAACAGTATATCTGGTGCTTATTGTACGTGCGCTATATCGTTTTTACTGAACGGCAATATTGCACGGGAATATCATGTATTATATAATAAAGTAAACATAATGTCCGAACACATATCATTTATCATGTGTCAGAACTTGATCACGTCATAACCCGTAGTTGAAGCCTCGACAATTTCTGTGGGGTGCTAAGCAGAAACTGGAAGTAAAATATTATACGGCCGAAATGGATTTTTGCTTCAGTTGTATTGTTTGCCGCATTGGAATTTATATTTATGTTCAACCATAACAAAATAGTCTGACAACAAACGATCTGGTAGAGTCGTATATAAACAAAAGCAAGGTCCTATCATAAAATTGGTACGTACAGACGGTATATTCATATAGGGATCAATTAAATCTCCTAACACAACCCAATACATGAATGGCGAATTCGATACGAATTGTATTAATATACAGTCAGATCAACTGTTTGCTATAAATAACTTGTTTAAACGCTTTAGACATTACACGATCAATGTTATATGTTCTATGTAATCACTGTCGTCATCGGGAATAAATAGGTAGAAACGCAAAACATTCCAAAACAATATAAACTGACAGCTAGCTAGGCCTTTCTGCCTAATTTGGCAGTGAAGACCAACTGTGCGTAATGTTTTTTAAATGGAGTCCGCCATAATCGTGCAACAAACATATCCATTTAATTAGATTAAGACGAAGAATAATGTATCGTATAAACAACGTTAAGCTTAACAGAGTTTAAATTGTGGTAAGCATATTGTAATAAAGTAGGCAGACAAAGGCGGTGTGGTTGGTGTAATGGGTGCTTAGTTTTATTTTTTATCTTCATATCAATATTCTAATTCTAACATTTTGGAATCGAGGCGATTAGCTATTTGTAAATTTATGTCATAAAATATTGACTCCAGAGATGATAAACAGTTTATCGGTAAAGCATTAAAACAACAAGTTTTATTAAAATGGTTATAACAAACAATATATACGTACAAAAGCTACCTACGTGACACTTGTTCTGGGGTATTTAAAAGATAAACTTTCAAAAATGTACACACACCAAAAAAAATATAGTCTTGTAAAATACTCTCTGAGTGATTGCTATATGGATGCTTCTGGATGAGAATCTCTCTGAATATTTAAATATGCCAGATGCCTTGCATCCCGATTTGAACTATGAAATTGAGTATGATGAAAACAAAATACTTTTTTGTATTTTGTTTTCTGGAAATTAAAGAACATAACATTGTTACTGATTTATATTGTAATTTCATTTCAGTAATAATTACCATAACTTTAGTATGCATATACAATACCTACACCCATCTTTTTAGCCCCAAAACAAAAGATTCAAACATCCCTACCTCCCTACCGTGACGTAACCTATATCTCGATGACAGAGCCACGGAGTGATCTCCCTTCCTCTTCCTTTTATGGCGCCTGCTGCCTGCTGACGCCCGGAGCTTGCTCCATTTCAAAACTTTGTTTTGTCGGTTTGGTTTGAGTGTCAACTCATATTTTTGCGCAGTTTGTGTGCCTTTTACCCATCTGCCCTTGTTGATATAGCTAATTGTTGTTGAAAATTATTTTTGTGCCTTTTACGGCCGGTTATTTTACCCCACGTGTGCCGGTGGTGTGCCATGGTCCGCCATTATCGTGGGTTGTTTCGGCAAACGTTATTTATTTTTACCGTTTTCTGATTTATATTACGGATGAAATTCTTTCTACGTTGCGTACTTTGTACTATCGTATTTTATCATTTTTTCCCGTGTTATCTGCTTGTAAATTTTTGTTTACGTTCGCTTTGGAGGATATGTCTCGGTCGGGACAGCGACGAGGTAGAGCTCATGGGTGTTCCCATTTCTTTGTGGAACGGGACCCTCATGATGCTTGTCCCAGGTGTCGTCCTTGCAGTGAGGTTTCGCCTTGTGAACTTTGTTCACAGACTAAATCTCAGGACAAGGACTTCATTGTACCAAAGCTACCCTCAACTGACCGTAAGACAGATTCGTCTGTTTCTTCCGGTAAGCGAGGGAAGCAGAGAGGTAGGGGTCGTGCCACCAGCTCTCTGGGGTCTGGTGGTACTGTCTNGGTCCTAAGAAGGTGTGTCGGACCTTTAGGACTTCTGCCTCTCGGGCAGGCTCGTTGGTCTCTGGGTCCAAGGGTAGGGTTTTGGCTACTAAGCCTAAACCTACAGCCACGGCCGTTAGGCGCACTGCACCTAAACGCCGGTACGGGGAGCCTTCTCTCGGGTTGGCCCCTCTGGCTGGCCCATTTCCTCCGCCCCAGGCTTCTGGTCTGGATGGTGTGGAGGCTATGGACGTTGAGGGCGCGGGTATGGCAGAGGACAATGATGTTGTTCATCTTTCACCTGGTTGTTCGGATATAGACGCTGGTCTTTCCGAGTCGTCTGACGACAGTCCTCAGGAGGGCTTGCCCTCAGAGGAGGACTTCCAGGATGAGGGAGACCCTGAGGCTGCTGAGGTTGAGGCCCAGCATGTGTTATCCGGTATGCGGGGCCTTAGGGCTGACGTTTCCCGGATTCTTGGGGAGGAGGTTTGCCCACCACCTTCGGCATCATCTGTCCCCGAGTCCACCACCCTTTTGGGTTCTTTGGTGGCTCCTCGGGTGTCCGCTCGGTCGGACCGCTCTCTGCCAGAAGGCACCATTGTGTCTTCAGCTCTGGCCACCGCCCAGTCTCGGGTTTTAGAGAAGAATTCTTCTTCAACCCGTAGTCCTGGGTATGCTGGGTTGCAGCTCAGTGTTGGCGATTTGTCAGAAGTGCACGCCACTGACTATGCCACACATGATGGCCTGCTTGCCCCTCAACCAGCTAAGCTGGAATCGAGGGAACTTGCAGCCTGGCCCGGTAAATCGGTGGACCAGGTGGTGTTCGGTCCCAAAAACACCACAAGACGGAGAGACTGCTGCGTCTCTCCATCCAGATTCTGTCTTATATAGACTACCTGACGGTTTATCTATATAGGGTATCCGACTTGCCTGAGGGTCGGATTACCGAGACAGAGCAGGCCGACATCCAGGACAGAGTGACCCAGTTTTGAAAAACCGCCCGGTCGATGAGCCTTACCGCTCCAGTTTGTTGACTGCCCCCTTCTCAGGGTCCACTCTTTATGGAGGGGCCCTTCCTTCTGGTCAGAATGATTTGAAGGAGGACTCGGTCGCCTCTGACTTCTGGTGAAGAGGAGTCAGGCTGAGAAGGCCAGTACCTCGCAGGAGTCAGCGCCTCCTAAGAAGAAGGCTAAACCTTCCGCTTCGCAGTCCTCTGCGCAGCCCAAGTATAAGCCTCCCTTCAAGGGCAACAAATGGAAGGGTAAGAAGGGTAAGAACCCTCCTGGGGGTAAGAAGAAGGGTTCCTGACTCTCTTCTTCCCCCCTTGGTCGTGTCAGACGACGAGTTTGGCCGGGAGGACTGCAGTCCTCTCGGCTCAAGCTTAGGTCCTTCTCCCGCAGGATTAGGCTTCGGGTCAGCAGACGGTTCTCTTGCCTGGCAAGGTCTCGATCTGCCTCGACCAGATCTTCCTGTGGGGGTCGTCTTTCTGCTTTCCTTCCAGAGTGGAAGGAAATTACGGAAGACGCAGGGGCCTTGTCTGTGATAAAGGAGGGGTAAGGTATTCCGCTAGTGCGGGATTCGCCCTTAGTGTCGGAGCCAATCTTTTTTCCTCCACCGGGGGATCCGGAAAAGGCTCTGGCGCTCCAGGGGGAAGTAAGGACCATGCTTACCAAGGGCGCGGTCGAGGAGGTTCCTATGTCGGGATGCGCTCCCGGGTTCTACTCCAGAATGTTTCTGGTTCGGAAGAAGTCCGGGGCGTGGCGTCCCATCATAGATCTAAGTGCCTTCAACAAGCACGTAGATTCTCCTCACTTCAAGATGGAGACTCCTCGGGGTATTATCGCCTCCGTGAGAGAGGGAATGTGGGCGACTTCAGTAGATCTAAAGGACGCCTACTTCCACATCCCCATCAAGAAGTCGGCACGGAAGTACCTCCGTTTTACTTGCAACGGAAAGGTCTTCCAGTTCCGGGCCATGCCGTTCGGGCTCACGACTGCACCTTTGGTTTTCACCAAGCTGCTGCAGGTGGTCGTGGGATTCCTGCACTCTCGAGGAATAGATGTTCACATCTATTTCGACGACTCCCTCATGCTCCACCTAGTGAGAGAGTCTCTGGTACAGGTCACCCGGTTGGTTCTGAAACTCTTACTCAAGGTCGGCTTCATTCCTTCCAGAGAAAAGTCGGAGGTTTCCCCATCTCAGGATTTTGTTTTTCTGGGGAACCGTTTCAATACGGTTCAGGGCATCGCCCTTCCACCGATGGAGAAGTTCGAGAAGGCCAGGGCTTTTGCTCTGACCTTTATCGGCCGGTCTCAAGTCCAGGTACGTTGGTTTCTCAGTTTTCTGGGATATCTCAACGCCCTGGCCGATGTGGTCCCCTTAGGGAGACTTCACATCAGGCCTCTCCAGATGTTTCTCCTTGCCAACTGGGTCCCTTCTTCAAGGGATTGGGAAGCCTTGCTTCCTCTGAACCAGTCGGTCAAGGAGTACGCACGCTGGTGGACTCATCAGGACAATGTTCTCCGAGGGGTTCCTTTGTCCAAGCCAGTTCCCACTATGACCCTGTACACGGATGCATCCATGACAGGGTGGGGAGCTTATCTCGACGGGCGTTGCCAGTCGGGGGAGTGGTCTGGGGAACAGCTCTCGGAGCACAGCAATGTGCTCGAGATGAGGGCTGTTCTGTTGGCTCTGCAGTCTTTTCGGGAGATCCTGCATTCCAAGGTGGTTTGTGTGGCTACGGACAACACTACGGTTGTCGCGTATCTGGAGAGACAGGGGGGAACCAGGTCTCACACCCTGTGTGCCCTCGCTATCCGCATTCTGCTTCTATGTCAGGAAATGCAGTTGACAATTTGTGTCAAGCATCTACCAGGCAGGTTGAATGTTCTGGCGGATACTCTTTCCAGGCGCCGCCAGCCGGTTTTGACAGAGTGGCAACTGAATCCCTCGATTTTCGTGGGAATTTGTCAGGTGTGGGACAGGCCTCACATAGACCTGTTCGCCACTTCACTGAACAATCAGTTGCCAACGTTTGTCTCTCCGGTACCAGATCCAAGGGCTTGGGCCGTGGACGCTCTGTCTCTGGATTGGGAGGGAATGCATGCATATGCATTCCCACCCTTCAACATGGTGGGCAGGGTGCTGCAGAAGTTTCGGGAGCATCAGTGTTCCCTCCTCCTGATAGCGCCCCTGTGGCCGAGGCAGCCTTGGTTTCCGGAGCTTTTGTCGCTTCTGGTGGAAGAGCCCCTGGCTCTTCCTCTCAGAGCGAACCTCCTTCGCCAGCCTCGTTCCAGGACGATGCACTCTCGTCCGGAGATCCTCCACCTTCACGCGTGGAAGCTATCTCAGGAGGCCTCGCTCAGGCGGGCTTTTCTAGGGACGTGTCAGATCGCATCGCTCGATCAATTAGGGCTTCCTCATCTGCCGTCTACCAGTCACGATGGAAGATTTACTGTGATTGGTGTGTCGGCAGGAAGGTTGATCCGATCAAGGCTACTGTCCAGGTGATTGCGGACTTCCTTCTTTGGCTGTTTAGGGACCGCAATCTTGCCCCTGGCACTATCGCTGGTTATCGCACGGCCATTGCTAGTGTTCTCTCTGTTCATGGTAGGTCGGAGGTAGGCTCGTCCTCCTCTCTTTCTGCCTTGATTAGGGGGTTTGGGTTGGACAGGCCTAGGGTCCGGCAGTTGGCTCCGCAGTGGAATTTGCCACTGGTGCTCGAATCGCTGATGCGGGCACCTTATGAGCCTTTAGCGTCTGCCTCCTTGAAGTTTGTTACTTACAAGGTGGTATTCCTTGTTGCCCTGGCCTCAGGTCGAAGGAGGAGTGAGATTCATGCCTTGTCTTCTCACCCCTCTTGCCTCCGATGGTCCAGGAATTACTCTGCCGTTACCCTTCTCACTGATCCTGCCTTTATGGCTAAGAATCAGGTTCCTGGCTTCTCGCCCGATCCGATTAAGATTCCGTCTTTGACTGCCTTCGTTGGAGCTGAGGAACGGGATAGGTTGCTCTGTCCCTGTCGGGCGCTTAGGTTTTACCTCGATAAAACCAGGGGGGGGCGAGGTCCTCGATCTCGTCTGTTTTTGCCCATTAAGCAGGGTCAACAGGATATCTCTTCTCAGTCAGTGTCTAGATGGATCTGTCAGGTCATCAAGTACGGTTACGACCACTCGGATGATCAGGTTCGGGCGTTGTATAAGGTGAGGGCGCATGAGATCAGGGCCCTTGCTGCGTCATGGGCCCTCCTCAATGGGTCCCCCTTTCAGGAGGTCATGTCCGCAGCTTTCTGGCGCGGACAGACTACCTTCACGGATTTTTATCTCCGGTCCTTGGCCTCTCATTCTGATGGATTGTATTCCCTTGGACCGGTGGTGGTTGCACAGTCTGTGGCTGTTCCTCCACAGTAATTCAGTGATTTTAAATAGTATGCTATCAGGCACCACGGTGGTACACCTGCTCGTTTCACGGGGAGGTTTTCCATTTTTTAATTACTTTCGGGGCTTTATTAGGGGGGTTCCATGAACCTTTTCCCTACCTTGAGCATGTCTCGAGTTTGTTCCGTCAGCCTGGTCTGCCTGGATTCGAAGCCTCCACTACGGTAAGACGAATTCGCATACTAAAGTTATGGTAATTATTACTGAAATGAAATTGAGGTTTTTGAAGTAAAACCAATTTTCATGATGTAATACTTACCATAACTTTATGGAGTCCCACCCTGTATTCCTCCCCTTGCCTCCTCATCCTGGCTGCCTTTAGGCTCCATAAAAGGGGGTTTGAGGAAGGGAGATCACTCCGTGGCTCTGTCATCGAGATAGAGGTTACGTCACGGTAGGGAGGTAGGGATATTTGAATCTTTTGTTTTTGGGCTACAAAGATGGGTGTAGGTATTGTATATGCATACTAAAGTTATGGTAAGTATTACATCATGAAAATTGGTTTTACTTCAAAAACCTCAAGTTTATAGATTCCTAAAACTACTTTTTTTCAATAACGCTTAGTATACTAGACTTGTTGTATGGTTTAATATCTTAATATATTACAGATAACAGAGATTTTAAATTATATCATAAGAATAAACGTTATTTCGTAGAAGTGGTACAACATGTTAATCAAAGAGCTAAAGAGAAAGGACCTATCAAAATTAATTCAGAACGAGTTAACACCAAAAATGCAAATAAAGTAATTTTTTTTACGTACAATCCAAATAAATGTGACATGTTTTCTGTCGTTAAACATTAAGTTAATTACGTAAAAAAAACAACAGTGAAAACATGAAGTATATTTTGGAAAACAAAATGTAAAAGACAACCCAAAAACGTGAAGCGTCTGCTATGTATCTCAATTTGATATGAATACCCCTCATGTTGTCACTGGTGATAGAAAAAATACAAAACCAAGTTTGTTTACATCTAAGATAATCATTGAATGTAAAGCTTACTTTTTTGTAAATGGTTTTAAAAAAAACAGATCAGATATTAGCTGTAATTCAAAGAATGCCATGTACATTGATATGTAAACAGGATAATTTGGTATCGAATGTGAATTGAGACTACGTATGAATGTAAATTGACCAGAAAAGAGGCCAATGAATTAAGATCTTTAACAGTTAGGAAACCTATTCATCAATGTTAGGGGGATAATTGCTTGTATAAGCTATTTACAAGAGAACTTAAAGAACAAATGTTTATAAAACCATCAACCCCAGCTTCAATGCATTCTGGTTTTTTATAATATGTTGATTGGTTTTATCATCTTCAACATCCAGTCAGCAGATAATGCCATTTAAGGGCGTACCTTCAAGTGTTTTGTGCATGTTTATATTTATCTCTACTTGCAACTACCTTTTATTTCCTAGCGCCTTGCTTGGCAGAACCTCACTTTTGGCTTTTGGCATTCGCCCAAGTGAGGAAGGCAATGGAATCAGTCCCCAGGCATGTAAAAGTCCTTAACAATGGTAGTTGTTATTCCCTGCTTAAAACGCAGCATTAAGGGAAATGGCAGCAACTGGTTCACCCGTTGTCAGTATTATGTGACCGGGCGAAATGTTGGACATGGTGCCTTCGGAATGGTATTTCAGTGAGGTAGCGCTAAATTCGGCATCAGATCCGCGCTATCACAAGTAACAATAACACTATCATACCCTGCCTTCTGCATACACACATGCGCATTCAAAATATTGCAATGGGTGCAGCAGATCTACTTTGGTTGCTTTTGTGGACACAAAAGCAAAACCTAATTCCTAATTCTGCAGGGGATTCCAATATCAGTCGCCTCTTACGATACATGCAGTGGGCAACAGCAGGTGTATTCATTTCTCGATCCCCGACCTGCAGGGGTGACAGTGTGTTGAATGTACATCTTTTCTCTGTCCTTGTATTGCTGACGTCAAGTAACTAACGGTGTGCGTACAGTTATGACTGATAAGCTGCAAACACATATTGTGTTATATACAGAATGAATGTTTTTATGTATAGAATAAAGTAGTCTTTGCAGACTTTGGAACACCACAACAGTTATTGCATATACAAGAAGAATATAATGTTCTTGTATCTTATATTCGAATTCATCAAATTTTTCTCTTTTTGTTTTGTAATTGGTCAAAAGGTGCGTTTGGCATGACTCGTCTTACATACTCTGCCTGCTATGGGGTCACTTCAGCAAATTTCATCATGGCTTCCTGTCCCGGCGCAGACCAGATGATCGTGATAGATGCCGTGAATGTCTACACAAAACCTTTGTTATCAGGTTGTCCCGGAATCATGACAAATGCAGCGACCACCCCAAAGTCATGCTGTCAGTACGATGCTGGCGACTGTGGATTCGAATACGAGGGTGTCAACAGGAACACTTATTATGAAAATTGTCAAGGCCGAAACACTTGTTCGTGGACGCCCGTTGCGTGGACTAACCTGCGATGTAACCCATTGTTATATCCCTCGCGGTCAAGTTATATGGTGGTCAGCTATCGCTGTATTTCAGGTGAGTTTGTAGTTAATTGTGAGTATAGATGAAATTGATAATATTTAATATTCCTAACAATATTATGATCATAATTTAATCCCTTTATCGTATATGCAGACTCATTTTCACCAATCACCTATTTAGAGATCAACTCGGACCCAGTTAAACTTAACCCATGATGTACACTCAACTTAATTCTGACAAGACAGATGTTGGTTACATTGCGATCTTGGTATGGTTAATTTATTCTAAACCTAATAAAACTAGTCTTTGTCATTGTCTTTGTGAAAATCAAACGGGTATGTTTTAGGAAGATTCCATTGTGTTCTTCGGACAAATAAAGTTGCAGCGAACGTTCAGTTATTTATAATTTCACATGCATATATTTCAACTATACGTAACTTTAGGTCCAGGAATTCTTCTTTGACGCTTCAGAGGAAAATATATTTTACACATCAAACGTATTTTTGTTAAAGTGCTTTGGAAATTAAAGTCGGTAAAATTAACATGAACAATATGTATAACCTTTTCAGGAAATGAGGTAAAGGACGTAAGGGAGGACGGAAGTGTCAACACCACTACTAGCCTACTGCTGAATTCTGGGTATAAGTCTGGCAACAACACTGGTACATTGCCAGCAAACTCGTCATACAAATGTTCTGTATCAGCGTCGTGTGCCACGAGTATCAAAATGCGGATACATACTTTAAATTTCACGGAAAAGGGGGGAAAATGTGGACAATCGATAAACATAACAGCCGGGACCAACACACACGTTTTAATGTGCAATGACAACACCAACTACCTTCCCTACGACCTGAGTATCGGAAGCAATACTAATTTACTCGAAATGCAAGTAAATAACACTTTGGATATGGACTCCGGAAATTTTCTTCTCGAAATTGAAAGTACGTATGATACAACTTAGGGTGATTTCTTCTTCAGAACGTTGATATGATTCGTAACTGTAAACATTTCTTGGTAAACACGCATATAAATACTGTTTAATAAACATGATTTAATTTCTTCCACTTTTCTTACGCTTGTTTTGTAATTTCTGATAGTAGAACTTTCAGAGTAAATCATATTGATGGAAGATTTTGATTTTTACTGATTACTGATTCGGGATTTTAATGTAATGCAGGCGACAATGGCAATGCTACTGTGACTTTAGCATGTGGAATATTTGCCAGGGAAGGGAATGTAGGTGATGAGGGTATGTCTGAATGTTCTACTACAGCAACAACCACTGCCAGTACGACAACAGTATCAACTTCCAGTAATACTGATACGACAACAGTGCCCACTGACGGTAATACCGATACGACAACAGTGCCCACTGACGGTAATACCGATACGACAACAGCATCCACTGCCAGAAATACCGATACGACAACAGTGTCCACTGCCTATAATACCGATACGACACCGGTGTCCACTGACAGTAACACCGATACGACAACAGTATCTTCTGCCAGTAATACCGATACGACAACAGTGTCCACTGACAGTAAAATCGATACGACAACAGTGTCCACTGACAGTAACATCAATACGACAACAGTATCCACTGCCAGTAATACCGATACGACAACAGTGTCCACAGGTAGTAATACCGATACGACAACAGTGTCCACTGACAGTAACATCGATGCGACAACAGTATCCACAGCCAGTCACATCGATACGACAGCAGTATCCACTGCCAGTAACACCGATACGACAACAGTATCCACTGACAGTAACACCGATACGACAACAGTGTCCACAGCCAGTAACGCCGATACGACAACAGTGTCCACTGACAGTAATACCGATACGACAACAGCGTCCACAGGCAGTAACATCGATGCGACAACAGTATCCACTGACAGTAACATAGATACGACAACAGTATCCACTGCCTATAATACTGATACGACACCGGTGTCCACTGCCAGTAATACCGATACGACAACAGTATCTTCTGCCAGTAATATCCATACGACAACAGTGTCCACAGCCAGTAACACCGATACGACAACAGTGTCCACTGACAGTAACATCGATACGACAACAGTATCCACTGACAGTAACATCGATACGACAACAGTATCCACTGCCTATAATACTGATACGACACCGGTGTCCACTGCCAGTAATACCGATACGACAACAGTATCTTCTGCCAGTAATATCGATACGACAACAGTGTCCACAGCCAGTAACACCGATACGACAACAGTGTCCACTGACAGTAAAATCAAAACGACAACAGTGTCCACAGACAGTAACATCGATACGACAACAGTATCCACTGACAGTAATACCGATACGAAAACAGTGTCTACAGCCAGTAACACCGATACGACAACAGTGTCCACTGACAGTAATACCGATACGACAACAGTGTCCACAGGTAGTAACATCGATGCGACAACAGTATCCACTTACAGTAACATCGATACGACAACAGTATCCACAGCCAGTAACATCGATACGACAACAGTATCCACTGACAGTGAAACCGATACGACAACAGTGTCCACTGCCTATAATACCGATACGACACCGGTGTCCACTGCCAGTTATACCGATACGACAACAGTATCTTATGCCAGTAACACCGATACGACAACAGTGTCCACTGACAGTAATACCGATACGACAACAGTGTCCACAGGTAGTAACATCGATGCGACAACAGTATCCACTTACAGTAACATCGATACGACAACAGTATCCACAGCCAGTAACATCGATACGACAACAGTATCCACTGACAGTGAAACCGATACGACAACAGTGTCCACTGCCTATAATACCGATACGACACCGGTGTCCACTGCCAGTTATACCGATACGACAACAGTATCTTATGCCAGTAACACCGATACGACAACAGTGTCCACTGACAGTAATACCGATACGACAACAGTGTCCACAGGTAGTAACATCGATGCGACAACAGTATCCACTTACAGTAACATCGATACGACAACAGTATCCACAGCCAGTAACATCGATACGACAACAGTATCCACTGACAGTGAAACCGATACGACAACAGTGTCCACTGCCTATAATACCGATACGACACCGGTGTCCACTGCCAGTTATACCGATACGACAACAGTATCTTATGCCAGTAATACCGATACGACAACAGTGTCCACAGCCAGTAATACCGATACGACAACAGTATATTATGCCAGTAATACCGATACCACAACAGTGTCCACTGACAGTAAAATCGATACGACAACAGTGTCCACTGACAGTAACATCGATACGACAACAGTATCCACTGACAGTAATACCGATACGACAACAGTGTCCACAGCCAGTAACACCGATACGACAAAAGTGTCCACTGACAGTAATACCGATACGTCAACTGTGTCCACAGGTAGTAACATCGATACGACAACAGTATCCACTGACAGTAACATCGATACGAAATACCGATACGACAACAGTGTCCACTGCCTATAATACCGATACGACACCAGTGTCCACTGCCAGTAATACCGATACGACAACAGGGTCCACAGCCAGTAACACCGATACGACAACAGGGTCCACAGCCAGTAACACCGATACGACAACAGTATCCACAGCCAGTAACACCGATACGACAAAAGTGTCCACTGACAGTAATACAGATACGTCAACTGTGTCCACAGGTAGTAACATCGATACGACATCAGTATCCACTGACAGTAACATCGATACGAAATACCGATACGACAACAGTGTCCACTGCCTATAATACCGATACGACACCGGTGTCCACTGCCAGTTATACCGATACGACAACAGTATCTTATGCCAGTAATACCGATACGACAACAGTATATTATGCCAGTAATACCGATACCACAACAGTGTCCACAGCCAGTAACACCGATACGACAACAGTATCCACTGCCAGTAATACCGATACGACAACAGTGTCCACTGCCAGTTATACTGATACGACAACAGTGTCAACTGCCAGTAATACCGATATTACAAAAGTGTACCCTGACGGTAATACCGAATCAACAACATCATCTGACAATAAGAGGGGTGCAACGCCTCCGTTTGGACCAACACAAGTATCAGCAGGGAATGGAAGATTTCGTAAGTTCTTTTCTCACATTGTTTAAGTCATCTATTGTAATGTTGTAATGTATCTTCTAAATATCGACGACGCAAGGTTTTGTTGAATTTGGTCAGGGAAAAACTTGTCAATCACACATCAGCTTCTAAATTATGGTTGTTTCAAAAAGGAACATCTAAGTTTCCATAGGATAAAATATCTGTTTATCCCCTTAGCACATCAAAAGGGCAGAGAACCAATCTTTTTTATTGACATTTGCACAATTAGATGTAAATATATGAAACTTTTTTCCAACCCAAACACCAGATTTTGATGTTGTACAGAGGGATGTAAGGTGTCATACATCCTCCTGCAGAAGTTGGTATCAAAAGAATCCCCTGATAATGCGTTTGATTTTATGTAAAACATGATGTTATCGTTCAAATATGGCGTCACAGAGCTTTTTTTTTTATTTCATTTCACGTAAACCTATTACACAGCGTGAACCAAACAACTGCAAAACGGCCGAGTGTTAAAAAACGTAAAACGAACACTTCAAGACAAAGGGACGTTTTCAAACGATTTTTCTGTCCTCAGATATCATCATATATAACTTTGAATGAAGCCTCTTATTTTAGCGGTTAAAATTTAATATAACTGTCTTGGTTTCTTTTCAAGCTGTCTGGGCCCTTGTATTGATTGCTGTCGTGGTTGTGATATTCGCTGGGATTGCTTTTTTCTAGTGCAGGAAAAATAAATAACAGTGTGAGGTAAGTATCGAGATTTTTAAACGTTAGCAAGGAATCAGGTGTAATGGTAACTTCTGAGTCTGATAAATACCAGTAGTTTTTTTTCTTTGTGTAACAACTTTTTCCTAGGCGGTCATCACCCACTGGTATTATCAGAAAATGCCCGCATTATTATGACGTAGTTCGTTCACGATTCGATCATTCGATTCTGTTTATGTTATGCAGGCGCGATACAGATAGCCTAGCTGATGAAGACTGTTGACGATTCCACACATTGTAGTCATTTAAATGTAGGATAAACGGTATGATATCCAAATTGCCAAGTTATAACAAGGTTTAAAATTATGCAGAGTAATCATTTTTCAGTCTTCTTTATTTTCCCGTTCTGAAAAGCCAAAGACAATACTTCCTGTACGTATATGCTTTTATCTATTTGTGTATATATGAATGTGTTTTCATTCCAGTCTGGGATGAGTCCTAATACAGAAAAGAAACCCTCCTTGATTGTATGGAAATGCTCTCTTTTCCCGCATGAAAGAGACAGGTATTATCTCAAGTGGCCCCTGTGTCGATACCTATGAGCACTCTCCCATCCGTCTTAAACGAGGAGGAGGGGGGGGGGGGGGGGCAACAAAGTGTACATATGTTACTTTAGATGTGGCAACAGTGATGTATAGACACCGTTCTTTCGTACTTCATGTGTATAGAAACAAGGGAATATATGATCTGTATACAACAAGCACGACCGTGTGCAATTTTTATAATTGTCTGGTTTTTATAATTGTCTGATTTTTATACATTTCTACTGATATAAACCTTTCAATGCAAGAGTAACATTTGAAAGCACAAATATAAAGTTCGATATCAATTATTGTTGGATAATCAATGCTCACTAATTAGACAACCTTGACAAAACCGATTTGAAAAAAAAAGGTTAACATGTTTGCTATAAAATTGCTTGCGTTATTCTTTATTATCATTATGTTCTGAATGATGTATGACTATAAATCATTGTATATGGAAACATATGGTGTGGTGCTCATATCGCCAATCTATGGTTCGAGTCATTACTTGTATTTTATTTTGTCGTTTGTGTTTCTGTTTCATATCAAATTGAGAGATTATTATTTAATTGTTTACCGGCCCTTCGGAATTTCGAGTCATTAATTAAGCGTCATAGTAACAAACACAATATAGTGTATACACTAGTTGTTACGAAGGCTCAGTATATGATTTATCTTTTGTACAATTCGTCCCAAGATCCTTTAAGATTTTGATATGTGTATTACAGGCAGAAGTGTCTGAAAAGCGACAAAACACCATTGGTAACTAACTTTCTGGTTTACAAGTGCTTGTGAAATATAAGCATTTTTTCGTAACACTATTTAAAGTACAGTTTTAAAGACAATATACTGCAAAAGTATCATGCTATCATAAATATCTGTCTTTCTAGGGCATATACGAATTTTACCGTGTATTTGGGAGTTAGAAGGGAACTCCTTTTTATTCAAGCACATTTTAAAAAAGAGATATGCTTGTTATCTATGATTATGCTTATTTACATGTGAGGTTCACATTGTGTTCATGTACAACTGTGTTTTGAAAAATCAAATATGTAACACTCGTTATAAACATATTTGTCAAACATATTTCAATCTTCGATTAGGTCGTTACTTGTAAACGTTTATAATGTAGTTTTCGGATATAAGATATATATAATTTTGATTTTAATGATGATATATATATATAGTAGATTATAACGAAATCAAGAAGTCAGTCGAGTGTTGTGTCCTCAAAGTTTTATCTGATGTATATATCTCTATATAAATATTCCGAATAAAAAATTTGATATGTAGTTGTTGAATGTAAATATGCTTTGATATCACATTATTTGTTTTTTACTTTGAGTTTTTCGGTTTTATATTTTTTCTTTCTTTTTCCTCCTGTATGATCTTACGAACAATTGTATAATCTTAAATATGCTATTTGTTATTTTGAAATGAATGAATATGGATTTTACACACAAAACTTTTTTGTCATTAATGAATATTGTGTATAGAGGAATTCCTCACATAGCCAGCCGATTACTACCGGAAGACAATGTGTACCGACTTAACTGCGCGCATAGACAATGGCCACTCCGACAAACACGGAGGGGACTGTAAAAGAATTTATCCAGAAACAGCTAGAAATCGAGTCCGATATGAATTTCAGGGTTGTGCACAGGTTACGGCCCAGATCAGACGGGAAACCCAGAGCGATTATAGCCAAATTCGAAAATAGAAAGGATCGCGAGATGGTTTTAATGTCGGCGCCAGTCAAATTAAGGGGCAAAAATGAGTTCACCGTTAATGAACATTTTCCCGCCGAGATTAACGAGAGGCGCAGAGAGCTCATCCCGATCATGAAGGAAGCGAAACGTCACAGTAAAAGGGCAACGCTGAGAGTGGATAAGTTGTACGTCGATGGGCAACTTTACACTCAACCACTACATCCACAAACACCGTCACAGCAGCGTCGGCTGCCATCCCAACTTCGTTTTCCGTCTCATCATCAGGACCAAACGCGCCGTGTCGCTCCGCCAGGAGCAACTGGCCATCGTCGTTAGGGACGCGTCACAAGAGGTCCCGGTGTAAGTCACCATGGTAACCATGGTGGTGTGTGTCCTGACTTAAAACTGACTTGTTTAAATGTTTGTGGCATTAAGTCCAAGTTGCTTTTGCCTGAGTTTATTGATATAATTACATCTCATGATATTCTTGTTTTTGTCGAAACTAAAATTGACAATTTTGATATTCTGGAAATGCCTGAAAATTATTCATATTTCGTGAAAAATAGATCTAATTTTAAGAAAAAATCCGGTGGAATTGTAATCATTTACAAAAAGAAACTAAAAACATTTTTGAAGTTTTATCCTACAGGCTCTGAATACGTTCAATGGGTCAAATTATCTGAAAAGGTAACGAATACTGAAGGTGACCTACTTTTAGGTTGTACCACCCGAAAACTCTAGGTACTCGTCTCCCGAGGTATTTAATGATATTGAAAATGAGTTACATGAGCTTCAACATAGTGTAAGTAACACTATCTTGGTTGGTGATTTTAATGCCAAAACTGGACAGCGTCCGTAGATATAGACAATAGTGATGTGTTACATTCTTATTTTCATGATTATGAAATGTTAAATGTTTTTAATATTCCATTGCAGCGATGTAGCCATTGCTCATCCAGACCTAATATTTATGGATTTAAACTACTTGACCTGTGTAAAAATAACAATTTATACATTGCGAATGGTAGAGTTGGTAAAGATAAGCATTTAGGTAAAAAAAAAACTGTGGTGACGTCAGTGTTGTTGACTATCGAATCGTCTCGTCAGGGTTATTCCCTTTTATAAATGAATTTGAAGTTATTGAGTTTGATCCAACAATTTCCGATGTGCATTGTAGGTTATTTTTTACTCTCAGTGGCTTTTTGAAAAACACGAATGACTCTGATAATATGCATGTTGGTCAAGGTCAAGGTAACGGTCAAGGTCGATATATAACATGGAAGAATGATAAGAAAAATGAATTTATACATCATGTACAAAGTTGTTCTGTCGATGAATTAAACCGCATAAATGATGCACTTAATGTTTTGTCTGGCAAAACTTCTGTCAGTCCGTCTGAAGTAAATGATGTAGTTAATTATATTTCAGAGTTGTTCCGAATTTCAGCTACCGATACTTTCGGATTAAAACAAACTTATAGAACACTCAATACACATAAAGTTGCTAATGATAAGCCATGGTTTACAGCTGACTGTCACAGAAAAAGGCGTGCCTTTTTTTATGCAAAACATAAATTTGAAAATCATAGAACCAGTAGTAACCGAGTTAATATGAATAAAACCTCTAGAGACTATAAAAAGGTCCTTAAAAAGAGCTATAACACATATAGACATAACATTGAAAATCAAATACGAATCACGTCAAAATCAAATCCTAAAGATTTTTGGAATATTTTAAATTCATTCAATAAATCTAAAAATGATAACAGTGATGCTGATATATCTTTGGACGAGCTATATGAATACTTCAAGAAATTAAATAGTTCAGATGAAGATGAAGATGAGGATGAGTTTATTATTCCAGATATGAATGAAAATATGTTTGATTTTATACTAAATAGTGATGTGACTGAAAATGAAATTAGACAGGTTATAGTTAACCTTCGTAATAATAAAGCGCCGGGTATCGATAATATATTAAATGAGCATATCAAAAATACACAGTCTATACTACTACCTATATATGTTAAACTTTTTAATGTTATATTGAACTCTGGCCGTGTACCAGAAGCATGGACAATTGGAGTAATAAAACCCATATACAAAAAGAAGGGTGACCCTAAAAATCTCGATAACTATCGAGCTATTACATTAGTCTCATGTCTTGGCAAAGTATTTACTGCTATTTTGAACTCTAGATTAAATAGACTTTCAGAAGAAATTGATCTAATTTCCAATGTTCAAGCTGGTTTTAGGAAAGGCTATTCTACAACTGAAAATATATTTATCCTTCATGCTTTAATATCTATATACTTTTCAAAAAGTAAAAAGCTATTCTGTTCATTCATCGATTTCAGAAAAGCGTTTGATACTGTTTGGAGAGTAGGTTTATGGAAGAAATTATTAAAAAATAATATCACAGGAAAGATATTTAATGCTATAATTAATCTGTATGCAAACACTAAATCTTGCGTAAAAACTAGCAATGGTATGACTGATTTTTTCACATGTCACGTCGGGGTAAAACAAGGTGAAAATCTCTCCCCATTTTTGTTCTCAATATATTTAAATGATTTAGAAGAATTTTTAATGCAAAATAATGTTGACCAACTCCATTATATTGATAATTTATTTCAAGATCGCATGGGTATATTTGTTAAATTATTTATTCTGCTATATGCAGATGACACAGTTGTTATGTCTGAAACAGCTAAAGGTCTACAGAATGCTTTCCGTGAATTTGAAACTTACTGTACTATTTGGAAACTTAAAGTTAATCTCAATAAAACTAAAGTTGTTATCTTTGAAAAAAGAAAAAGTAATGCACAAAATATTCGTTTTACTCTTTTTGGTGAAGAGTTGCAAACACATGACTGTTACTCGTTTCTAGGACTGCTGTTTCATTATAATGGCAGTTTCTGTAAAGCAAGAAAAAAACTTGTTGAACAGGCTCAAAAAGCAATGTATGCATTATATAAAAAAATAAGAAATATTATTTTACCAATTGACCTACAATTAAAATTGTTTGATGTATTAATATCCCCAATCCTCTTGTACTCCTCAGAAATTTGGGGGTTTGAAAATACCAATATGATTGAGAAATTACATGTACAGTTTTGTAAAAGAATTTTAAACATACGTAGCTCCACAGCAAATATAATGGTATATGGTGAAACGGGTAGGTACCCTCTGAATATTGAAATTAAATCTAGAATGATAATGTTTTGGTATAAACTAATTACAGGTGAAAATAAATTGTCTAGTATAATGTACAAGCTTATGCTGAATTTACATGAAAATGATTTCGCTGATTTTAAATGGATTTCATATA